CACAGAAATAATCGAATTATAAATTGATAAAAGCCAACAAGTTTTTTCGCTGGCCATTTGAATGGAGCAGTCCGAAGATGCGTGCTGCTGTTGCCGCTGCTGCGAGAATCTGTCCACGGCCACCACCGCCGACCCACTGCTGGAGGAGCACCACCACCACCACCTGGAGGTCTTCCAGTGGATCGGGCTTGGAGACCGCCGAACTACTGCCCGCATACATAACCCGCTACTACAATAATCTGCACCACCAGGTAAATCGGCTTGTTAAGCGAAAGCGATAGCATCGCGGGGATTATGAATATGTGGTTGGGGGACGTAAAGAGAATTGTGTCTTTTATATGGAAAAAGTGGGGGTTTTATTTCGGATGGGAATGAGGTGGCCATCTCGACCATGTGGCCTGCAATGCACAGTGGAGTTGGCTTTTCATCTGAGTTGCGGCCAAACTTTGATTAAATTTTGTTTACTGTTTTTGTTCGGGCTGCAAGTGGAAATGCCCGCCAACGGGTTGGGAAAAACTAGAAAGCGGGCAGGAAAACATCGCCACCCGCATAATGCGGTGAAAAAGTGATGATTATGGAAGGTTGGGCGAATAGACCACTTAATTACTTTTCAATTTAAATCAAATTAATGTAATGCGGTGATTTGGCGGAGCGTGGTTTCAATATGGGTGAACTAAATTTACACTCTACCGCTTTTCAATAACAAACTTATATAAATCAGTAAATAAAAGTTGTCTTTACTTCGATGAAACTGAACTAATTATAGTATACTTGGTGACTAAAATCACATGATATTCGGAAGCCAATCTAAAATGTGGTTTGTGTTTGTTGAATGCCAAACTTCAGTTTGACATCATATATTTAAACACATTTGAAATTGAATTCAAAACAGTACCAATATTTGTACAACCCTTGGACATTTGGATTTAAATGCATCGACTATATTTGCATAACTAAACACTAAACTAATTAAATCCTTGTGAATTAATTAAAATCAATGATTTATGTTGGCTCAGATTATAATTTATAATATCTTTTGATAAATTTTAATACGGAGTCCTAAAAAAAGAGTGTTTTTTGGTGAATTTAATGTGGATGGTGGTAAAATTAAAAATGGTTTTGTTAAAAAAAGTTAAGATTTAAATTTGATTAGATCCATTAATATTACTGTTAGAGTAGCATTACATTAGAATAAAAATATTAAATTGATAAATGTTTGAGATTATTTTAAAGTGCAAAATGGTATTGACTTGGTTAGTCTAAGCCCCATTCGGGTATAAACTTCAATTGATTCTAATGCCAGCATTAAACGAGACTCCTATCCACTTGCCATATTGAAAACCAATTCCCCAACCGAGGAACTCCCATCCTTAAGTAAGACTTCAAGGAACATAAAACGCTTCGTTTTTGCTAGCCTTTGTTTATTGTCCTTTCCCCGATGGACACTCATTGAATATTGGCCAATTGCAATGGCAAAATCAATTTGCCAAATGGCCAACGAATTTGCATTTTTGTGTGCCACATATACCCATGTCCCCTCATCCCCTCATCCCCACTTTGGCTCGATTTCTGGGATGCCATCAGCATTATTACAACGGTCGTTTTACCTTTGACTTGTTTCTGATTTGCACGGAATACGGATACGGATATACACAGAAGGCACTACGGATGTGGATGTGTGTGGTGTTTGTGCACGTGTTCATCTTCCCCCGAGTGTGTGTGTGTGTGTAAGTGTGTGTGGGTTAGTTGACAACTAAACGTGTCAACGAGGCTAAGCAAGCAAACTGTCAGGAGCAGTAGTTACAGGACCAAAAGCGGGGAGGATGTCCTGCCTCCACCTGCCCCACTGACACATTAGGGTTACTCTTTTGGCTGCACAACACATATAAATGTCCCGCCTGCCACGCCCCACCGCCCCTCCACGCTTAGCCCCCAAATTGCAGCTCTGTAACTGCCATCATCCTTGTTATTGTTATTGCCATTGTTGCTGTTGTGTTGCAGCCAAATTTGTTGCCACTTCGATGAGATGACAAATTCGTGCCAAATTGCTTTCACTCTTTTTGATGCACAGTAAAAAACATCTTGATACGTTACTCTTGTTTAACTGTGGCCATTGATAGGCTCTATTAAATGGTATACTTTGAAAAATGAGCATTTGAAAGATCATAAAAATAATATAAACCATTTTCTAATTATTTAAAAATAAAGCTCAAAATTAAATCAAATTTTAGTTGAATTTCTTAAAAACCTATTTTGTTTGGGTCACAAATCCCAAATATAAAGCAAAAGAGAATAAAAAGTAATTATATTTCTGTAAATGGGGCTTGGGTTTTTATTGATATTACGCAGCTTGGTGTTTTGTATTTTTAAGACTGTATTTTCCAGGGCACCTCTGACCTCTGCTCACACTTTTAACCCCCCGACATTCCGTTTTCCATTGGCGTGTTGCAGCACACAAAACGTTGGCGACAGCAGCAAGTTAATAGTTTATGGCCAGGATGCGATTACAAGAGCTCCATTTTCCGAATGGGCCTTGACCTACACTGCCTGTGCTGGAGAACCTTGGGCCGAAACGAATTCGGACTGAAAATCACTTGACATAACGCTGGTGGGCCGAGGTGCAAGCTGTCGGAAAGTGGGAGGTGCTTTATTTTGCATTAATTAAAAGCCCGTTATGCAGCGCGTTAAGCTCGTGTGATGGCTGCCGTGCTCGTCCTTGCGAATCAATCGATTGTCTGAACTGCTTTCTTTGCACTTCGAGGCTGAAAAGATGCTACTACAGCTCTTTAATGCCCTCTTAAAATAGGGTATTATAAGTTTTACCATATGTTTGCATATTAGTTATGAAAAAATCTATCCAAACAAGGCACTTTGTATAACTCGTTCATATTTCGACACCCAATGAGAGTATAGCTTCTTAAAGTGCTGTGATTTGTATCTAACAAAATTTAGTACTTGTATGTAATATACGCAGGATGGCAAGCAGCACTTTTAATGGTCCTTCCTTCAAATTCTTGATTATAATTGCGAAATCGACCCTATTTCCCATGACCAGAGATGTTAAATTGCTCTCTGAAAGGACCGAGACTATATCTCAATGTCAAGGATATTAAATGTCTCATTAAAACATTAAGATATCACAAAAACTTTTTGCTAAGATCTGAAAAGCAAGTTATTTAGCTGCCATAGAAACCATCTACCTTAAAGGGTATTTCAATTTTCAATCTCCAAGCAAAGCCTTCCGTTCTTGTCCTTTCCCCATCATATTCCCCCTTCCTGGCGCACATTCAGTTGGCCTGCTATTCACAACAAGCGCTCCATAAATATTTGCTGTGCCTCAGCACAGATTCATAACTCATAAAGGGGCTGTCTCTCCGACTGTCTGTCCGTTTCCCCGTGTCCCTTACTCGTCCTGCGTCCTGCGTCCCTCCTCCTTTCTCTGTGTTTGCCTGGCCCCAATGGATAGCTGGGGCCTTACCACATGTAATTAGGTTGCGGTTTTCCACCTTCTGCTGCTTCTGCCACGTCTTCCTCTTTTGGCAATGAATCCTTTTGCCACACGCCCGCATCCTCTTTGGCAAGTGTCTGAGTGTCTTGCTGATTGTGTGCGGGGATCTAGAGTGAGCCGCTGTCGGAGGTAATTAGGAAATAAGTTCATATTGCTCTTACTAGATTCGAATTACTAGAGTTCTATATTCACAACTCAATCTTTTAAAAAATATAAAAATATCACAAAATAATGTTTAAATATGTTTAAAATTTCAACTCGAGCTTATACTTATGCTATATGAATTTCTAAAGAATAAATTGAGAAATAAATTTTAATATCACTCATACGACATGTGAGCCAGGTAAAATTTAGTTTTACGAGATCAGAGCTCGTACATAAAAAAATGGTCCACTCTGCGTATGAGTGATATACCATAAAAGCATATATTATTACGAGTATTTTATGACTTAAGTAAATCAGAATTTTGAAAAAGGGTATTGTTATGACCTTTCATTACACCTAAACTTCGGGTCCTCCCTGCTGGCCACTAGTCACCTACTTTGGCCAGGTTTTTTGGCCATTGCTAACCAATCTGCAGCTGCAGCGCCCTGATGAAACGTTGATGTTGTCTGATGCTTCTGCTGCTGCTGATGATGATGATGATGCAAATTTGGATGATGTTCATACTGATGATGACGCCAGCGCTGACGCTGGCAATGATTGGGTTAACGACTACGTGGCGCAGACGTTGTGCCATAAATTACGAATATTTGCACGCTCTCCACGTTACGCGTTAGACGAAAGGCGGTGGCAGAGCACACTGGCCTAACTTGCCAATTTGGCCGATAACTGCAGTTTAGCGGCCATAACTGCGATTTATTATGATTTGCAGCATGTTATGATGCCTAATCGTGGGTCCACGTTGCGTATGAATAATATTTGGTCGGAAGTCAATTAGGTCAATTCTGCATTAAAGTACTTTAGGGTGCAGAAAAGCAAATGGTTCTCTATATACAATATCTATGTATTATCAAAGTTTTTTTGTAAGGGAAAGCTCTATGCTTTTCCCTACAGCAGTGACTTGCATATTAATTTTAATTACAAACGTAATTGTATTTCGGATATTAATTGCTTAAGCCCACTGTGCCAAACTGGCAGCAGCAAAATCGTCTGCGATTGCCAATGAGTGAGAAATGTGGCTGCTAGACAGAGACAACTACTGCGCATGTCCGCCGTCGCAGTCGCAGTTTGCGTCGCAGTTGACGTCGCTGCCAGCATCCTGCATCCTTTGGCAGATTCAGCAGGCAGCGCAGAAGTCAGGCCACCAAGTCAGAGCACACACTAGTCGTCTCGGTCGCGCACAGGAAATTGATTGGGGGCAGCAGGCTGCATTCAGCTGGGCGCCAAAAAGAGAGAGCGAGAGCAAGGACAAGCCGTGCAGAGAGACAGAAAGAGAGAGAGAGCAAGGACAGCCAGCAGAGAGCTTCAGCTGGATGCTGGCAGGACTCGAAGATTCAGTCTATAATTGTCCACCTTGCTGACTGGTTCTGTGCCAGTTTAACGCGAGCCCTTGCCTGGACAGCACGGGTATACAGTAGCAGCAGGACACGCAGCAGCAGCAGCAGCACACACACACACACGCACGCACAACGGCTGCTGCAAAACACACACACCAGTGAGTTGCCATACGGCGCAGCGAAATGCAAAAAGGAGGAAAAACCCTAAGAAAAAGTCAAGAAAAACTGACGAAAAACTCCAGCTAAAGTTCGGGATAACCGAAAAAACTATGAAAACTTTTTAATTGCAAGCAGTGCACACTTTCGTTACTCAACAAAGTTGCGCGCAAAAAAGTAGGCAACATAAAAACTATAAAGGGAAAAGCATTGATTTTCACTGGAAAAATTCCCCACACACACACACACACATTTACGCAAACAAAAAAAGAAGTGTGCGTGGTCGTTTTGGCGACTTTTTTTCGCAGCCTCTCTGGCTTTTTTTTTTTTTGCATATTGTCCGATCCGGTCAGCTTCTTGATTTTGCACCCCGCTCCCTCTCTTCGCTCTTGGTGTGTATGTGTGGGAGTTTCTGCCCCTGTCTCTCAAAAGAGAGAGATTTTTTCTTCACTCTCTCCCTTGGAGAAGCAACAACCGCAACAAGGATAAGGCAGCGACGCCAGCTGCGACGTCGGCAGAGCAACCATTTCGACCGCATTGCCAAATCGATTTGCCAAAAACGATTATCAATGATTTCACGAACGCGCCACCAAAATTCGTTCACCAATTGAATTAAATTAATCTCATTTCGCCTACGTGTATGTGTGTGTGTGTAAGTGTGCTGGTGTGTGCGGTGTAAATCAAATTAAATCGGTGCAGAACAAAAACTAATTTATACCAATTTATCCCGAAAAACTACAGCCAGTGCAAGCAAAAAGAGAAATCAAATAAAACAATAAATAAAGAACAAAAAGATGTACTCTTTAATTCATTAAACCAGAAAAAACCCTTAAAACCACACAGACAACACAACGAGTTAGATACGCACAACAACAACATTTCGTTGCAGTAAGTATGAGCAGCTTAAAAAAAGCATAGAACACCTGAACGAAAATCCACCCACCACCCACCTGCAAACTTGGAATTCCTCAACAAAGTGAAGTTCGCTTCACTTCACTTCGCCACTCAGCACAGCCCCGCCCCCTGTCCTAACGCCCCCTTTTCCGCCCCTACCCCGCCCCCTTCCGAACTCCCCCGACAAACGCTTCCTATGCCATTTCCGTTTGCCTTATCAAAAATGTGTATATATACACAAAGACAGGGAAGCGGGGAAAAAGGGAAGAAACCGAAGAGAAGCTGCAAGAGAATTCAACTACAGTGGTCGCGGGGAAATTAGAATTTTCGAATACTACCATTGGTATTCAATACAAGTCAAAATAATTGGTGAAAAGAAGGACGTCCAGAAGTACTTAATAAGTTTAAAGTCAGTTATTAATATCATATTTAGTTTTGTATATTGTTTGTAAGCCATTTGTTCCAAAGTTGCATCATTGAATTATTGGTAAAAAAAGAGAATAGATTTTGTAAAGTAAGTGCCATGTTCTTAATAAAAAATATCCTAAATGTAGAATGTTTAAATGTTACCCTTCTTTCGCAAAGAAAACTAAAAATCTGCCTTAAATAGTGTTTGGATTTCGTTTATGACTTTTAAATATTAATCTTATTTATGACTAAAAATTGAATTGTGGACCCATAATTTTTTAAAATGCTATAAACTGGCCAATTAAATTAAATCTAATCTGATGTCTAGTAGCTTTTAATTTAACAACCGACCACTGTGCATAAAAAATTGGTGAGGTTTCATTTGCTCTGCTTTATTTTCCTTTTCATTTTCTCTGTTTCTACTTTCAAATTCATCAGTACCGCATTTCTGCTCCACGAAGGAGCAAGTGCAGCTCAGTGGTTTAGACGGGGAGTCCTTCAAGCCCCAGTGGTCCTTCAGGATTGAGATAGACTGCTAAAACTCACTTTACCTCAGTAGTTGAGTTTGGTATTTTTTTTTTTTTGGTCTGACTGCGGTTCTCCGGTCTGCCTTTTATCATACTTTGCTGCTCTCTCACTGTTTTTGCCATACTTTCTTTGTTGGTTTTTGAATCTTTTATGAATTGAATTTGGTTATTTTGAACGCGTATGTTCCGCTGCAAAGTTCCCGCTCCCACGGCAACGTGGCTTCCACGTCCTTGGCTGACTTCCTGCCCCGCATTTGTGGGCCCCCAGGATAAAGCCAACGCTAAAGCTAAGAGAAAACCGAAGCCAGGACGAGACGAGCACGTTCCCATTCAATTATGGGCGGCATGTGGCACATTAGCATTCAGCGGAAGCTGCGCCAAAAGCAAACATTTCAACGCCTCCCAGTTCGTGGGGTCCCTTTTATTATGCGAATATTATTTAAGCATTCACAATTCCGTTTTAATTTAATTCGATGGCAGCGGCAGACTTTCGGCAGTCAGTGTGGAATTTGTTGAAAACTATTTAGCATAAATAGTCTCCGCCTGCGGTCCCGATAGTCGCCTGGGAATAGCCTGGCAATGGAGTCCTTCGGCCCTCTTTATCTCCATCCTTTGTCCCTCTGCCCTCCTGCCTTTATTAGCGCATATAATTTCCCGAGTTCCATGTTCTTTTTTTTCTTCTCTGGTTTAGGTTTTTTTTTTTTTTGTTTCACAGTCTTGTTTTCTTCCCCATGCCTAGGTTTTTATTTTTATTTTTAAGGCTTTTTCCCCAAACGATTGCCTTTTGGAACCGTTTAGATAAAAAGCTCTGTTCTGCCTTCTGCCACCCCACCAAGTTCTGTTTTCTCCCCCAGGGACAACACAGGTTTTTATACTGTAAATTTTTATTTTTATCTCTGAGGCATATAAAATACACATTTTCAGTTGCCTAGACAGTGAGTTTAATTAAAACGAGGCGCGGAATAGAGAACTGTCTACACAGAAACAATACAAAGTTTGTAGGGCTTAAAAACAGAGATTTCAGACATTTTTATGTACTGAGAAAAACTGATTAAATCTTCAACAAAAGTTTATGAAAGGTAGTAAAATGTTTAGATTTTATCAGGTCTTAAGATAAATCTTGCCAATAAACTGTCTGCTAAAGGGTTATTTTTGTTTATATTTTATTTTTTCCATACGTATTTTTCAAATACAACTTTGTAGGCTTTTATTTCCTTTAATCGATTTTTCCCCAGTGCATATTACGCTCCATTTGGTTCCCATCTGTTTCGTTGATTGCTTTTGGGGCTGGGGGAAATAAGGGAAGGGAAATGCGAGCAGGTTGCCTACCGTTTCACTAATTTCAATTGTACAGGTGTGTGTCTAAGGGATTAAATATCTAATTTATTTGTATTAAATGTGAAAACAAAGGTTTCGAGCAGTATGCTACATAAAATTGAAATTCCTTAAACCTTAAACCCGAATTTTCTTATCCCCGCTGTGCTGAGTTTGTATATAGTTAACACCCCCTTAATCCCACACACCAAACACCCACCCAAACACACTCACATCCCAGTCGAATAAATTTCGTTAAATTTTGAGCTTTTCAACGATTTTCCTTTGCAGAAATCGCATGCTAGAAAATTTGAAAATCTAAAAGCTAAACCAAAAAAACCACAAAACAAAATCAATTCAAAATTAAACTCTAAAAGTTGCATAAAATTAAAACACATACATCTGTATAGAGAATTCAATAATAAAGAATATAAAACCAAGCTAAAACCCCAAACTACAACAAATTAATTACAATTGTGATGAACAAGTTAATTGCATCAATTGCAGCACATAAAATCTCAAGCATTTAAAATAGCTTAAACCAAACGAAAATATATTTGCTGCCCATGCAGGCTCAATTAAAAGGAAACAATAATTTATTGCCACATCAATTCAGCGTCGTGGGAAGCGGAGAAAATTGGAGATACACATACACACACATGATTTACCAGTGATAGCAACAGAATTTACATAACAATTAAAAATAGAGACAACAACAATAATAATCACCCGACAAACCAAATTGTTGTAGACTTTTAACTCGCCCAGTTTGTTGTTGTTGATTAATCGTAATAGAAGTTGTTGTTCATGAAAGGAAAGATAATTGCTGTGATCACAGGGGGAGTTTAATAACAAAAATTACCAAACAAAAAAAAGCTCTAAAAAGTGGCCAAAATAGCTTTGATGACAAGCTGAAAAAGTAGGGCAAATACAAATTATACAAAAAGTGAGAGCAATGCTGATTGGCCCAAGCAACTACCACGACAGCAACAGCAGCAACACCACAAGACACAGCAGCAACATCGGCGCATCTCCCGGCCTGAACCACATATCAAAAGGCTAGAAAGTGCACCGGGGAGAAGGGCGGAGGAAGCAGAGAAAGCGGAGAAAGGACACAACATTTACCCGCGCCACTCCTCGCCACCGCCCCCGCATCGCCTGCAATGCTCTGGTAGCCAAGACAGTTTTACGGTGGATCACTACTGCGCCGGCGGCGACCCACAGGCAGCAGCAGCGGCGGCAGCGGGCGGACCCGGACCTGGAGCGGCTGGATCTGGAGCGGCCGGATCTGGAGCTGGTGCAGGATCTGGAGCGGGCGGACCGTCGGCGGGTCAATGGTCCAATGCTGGCGGCGGCGTGACCTCCTGCGGCGGCGGCGGTGGCATGGGAATAGGGCCCCCAATCGGCATCGGCATGTGCCAGCATCATGGGCTGACATCACAGTCGTTGATGTCCGGTGGCTCGCACATGTCGCTGCTCGGAAGCAGCGGCAGCAGCGGCATGAGCGGCAGCGGCGTCGGCAGCAGCGGTCAGGGGGTGCCAATGTCCATGCCCCAGTGTCCCGCCGCCGCGGCAGCCGCAGCAGCAGCTGCAGATGCCGCCGGTGGCCATTGCCGCAGCCTGAGCGGCCTCAGTTCGATCAGCATACCGCCGCCGCCGGCGCTCTTCAATCCGTGCAGCTCGGCGCTGTCGCTGCAGCAGGCGGCGGCCACCCGCTGGGGACCGCGCACCTCCTGCCCGGTCCACAGTCCGTTCCGCGTGCGCGTGCCCAACGGCTCCATCTGCTCCGGACACCAGGTGAGCGCGTTTCGGAGGGGTGGTCAGTGGTCAGTGGTCGATGACCGAACAGCTAAATGTATAAATGTATAGTTTAACAGGGCCATAAAACCACAATCTGTCGCTAAAATCCGTTGACTAATTCAGCTTGCCACAAAATGTTTATTGCGCTTTTGAGTTTGCCATAGAAACTGTATATATTAACTAAGTAACTCCATAAGTAGTTTAGTTTCCCAATTAATCGCCACTTGACTTATGTCTCTGTCTTCCTTTCTCTTCTCTCTTCCCAATGGCTTACTCACTTTTTGGCCCGGCAGGTAAGCAACGCTAAGCGGAAATCCAGCATTTTGGCAGTGCTCCGAAATGTGTCAACGACATGTAAGATTATTTTCATTTGGGTTGCCGACATCGCCCAAAAAACACACAAAGATCAGGCGTATACGCATTCCGCATATGCTCACACACAAATGAACCACATGGGACAACGAGGGGGGTTTAAATGGTTTATCAGGATATTTCTTAACAGTCTTTATCTATTTACATTGGTTTTATTAATAGTTTTTTAGTTAACAATATATAGCTTCAATTATTCAGTGGTCAGTCAAAGATAGAAGTTGCAGAAGTTGCTTATGTTTATTTATAACCACTTCTTCAAATGTATTCAATCTGTTTATGCTTTTGACCAACTAAATTCTTCATAAATACATTGCTTAAATCATTTTAGAATTATTTATTCTATGCCATGCACCGTTAGCTCATAGGAATCCTATTAAATGTTATATGTGAATTATGAATAAGTAAAATACAAGAAGAGAAGTCAAATTCAAAATTGAATAGCAACTTCACAGGGAATACAAATTTTTGATGTATTCAGGATGGCTTATTCACTAAAGAAAACATAAACATTGCTGCAGTTTAAAATAGCAAGATTTACTATACATTTCCTACCCTGGTTTCTTTATATTCTAGTTCCTTGGGGAATATTTATTTTTGTAATTCCCTTAAAGCACCCATAGAAACAGGCTGCTTAAAAGCTTCTTAGAATGCCATAAAATGGACACCTCACTTTATATTTGCTATTCCTATGATACGATAATCCGAACACAAAAGGAACAGCCATAGCAACTCTCGTTGGGACAGCTCACATAGTTTCGCAAATTATAAAGAGCTCGATTCACATGATTGCCCAAGCGGTGACCCGGTTACGTTTTCTTTTTTTTTTTTTCGTCCCTGGGTTAGGGTCCTTCCTGGTCTTTGGGGTTGGGCTAGGGGTTTTGGGCTTTGGTTTTGGCTTTGGTTTTGGCTTTGGGTCGCTTTTCCTAAATCAGCGACAGGCGCAGGTTTTTGCTTGACTGCGCCGGGCACAAAACAGGGAAAAAATAAACTACGATGTGGCAACAGAAACTAGAGCAGCGACAGGGGATCGACTATCAGAAATCCCGGCCTTTTGTGACAATTGCCATTTAACGTTGTTTTCCCCGATTCGCTTTCCCTGTTTTTTCCCAGCGCATTACATTTTGGCCTTTTCCATATCCGCTACCTTCCTGTTTCGCCCGGCATCAAATTGAATGTCACTAATGCAATTAGTTCACACAAAATAATTCTCTTCCACTCGATTATAGAGCATAATATGCTCGTTGTCATTTATTATGAGAAGCCAACCGAAACACGCACAAGGATGAAAGTTACGGAGCGAGTCATATGCAAAGTGGGCGATTGCCGAGGGGGCGGGGCCGCCTTTTGCAAAGGCTCCGAAGGTTGCTGCGACACAGGACCATTACGCCTTTCAATTTCTGCGCTAGGGCAGAATTTACATAAATATTACACAAGAACGGGGCGCTGTTCGAAGGGCGTTGCTTCCAAAGGGCATGAGGCATAGCAAATAGGCTCGTTACGCCGGCGGCACGGTTCTGAAAGATCATCCAGCCAGGGGCAAACCAGCAAAAGGTGTGGTCACCAACGCCTCAAATTGAGTTTCAACTTTTTAAAAGGAATATTACAACGCACTAACTATAAAAACTCTGCACTACATAAAGCTTAGGCAGCGACTTAGATTCTGGTAATGGAGTTCGCCCAAAGTTGCTCATTCTTAAAGACCCAAAGTTTTCAGGCCTTGTTGAAAAAGTTTTCTTGCGTGGGCGGACTGAAAAATAATCTTTTGATAATTTTTTCGGCATTTATTATGGGTAGTTCACTTGTCATTGCCCTTGACAACCTATCAAAGGTAAATGAGGCTCAAAAATACTCAAACTTTGAAACTTTCCCTTTTCCCGATAACTTTTGGGCAAATAAAAAGGGACTTTTACGAAAACGCTGATTTATCAGCTTGGCTGGCAACTGCTAAAAACATATGCTAGGATAACTTTGGGTCAGGAAAAGATAACATATTTGTTTAACAAACAAACAAACGTATTTCTTTCATTATTTATTTATCAAGTTAGAAAGTGGCATATAAGATTACATTTTTAAAGGTTTGAAGTAATAATCTTTTTACAGCCGTTTATTTTCCTAACAATAGCAGAGAAAAATATATAATATTTATGTTAAATGCTTTAATAGCATTATTTTTTAATGTTTTAAATGGGCTAACAGACAATTTTTCTAAAAACCTTTTAAAAAATAGCTAAAATTTCATGACATATTTTCATCTTTCGCATTACCCGTCAAAAAGCCCTTAAGTCACAACCATTTCATTTGATTATCTCCCTTGAGGTGTTCCCGTTAACATCTTGTTGGTGTCTTATCTAAAGTATCCAACAAATGATTCCAAAAATTTCTCTCATCGCGACCATTAGCTGCCTAAGTACCTCAAATTTGATGCCACAATGCATGAGAGAATGTGTAATTTCCAGGGGGGAAGGGGGTGGAGATCCGAGACTAACTAACTTACACCTGCCTGATGGTGGCCGTCATGGCGTGGCACATGCCACATGCCGCACATACACGCATCCGCACACATTCACGAAAGTGTTGTCATACATTTAGCATTCCCTCTGGCAGGCAAACAAAAAACTTTTATCTTGATAGAAGGTCTTGAGCAGCGCTTTTTTCGGGGGACCGGACCGAAAAAAAGCTGGCGAAGAATAGAAAGCGAAGACGACAGGGCAAGGAAATGGAAAAGGAAGGGCGAAAAAAGTGCCCAACTGACAAACTGACTGGTGGACCGAAGGACCGACTGAATGACTGAAGCCTTGACACTCTTCATTTGTGAATGCGTTAATTGCGCCCGAGGATGTATGTATGAGAACATTAGGGTGGAACTTCGGTGCATGTGATATTGTAGGACCCACTTTCAGTCTTCCAAAAGCTTTTTTGTTTGATAAAATAAAACAAAAGATGAGACAAATATACTATATTGATTGCTAAGAAATACGTTTGGATTGGCTAACATATAATATGATTTATGTAAAAAAAAAAAAAATGTACAAAATAAAAGCTAAAAGCATACGTAGGATTTTATGTTATTATACAACATGGCGTATGAGTGATATCTACGTAGCTTTCGTATATATGATTTATAACTTAAATGCTTGTTAAAAATATTAAGGTGAATTTAAAAA